ATATTGTTCATTTACGTGCAGATGCAGACATTTCCATGTGGATCATTATAGCATCATTGCTCTATAGAGTGATTTCTGTAACAGTGATTTTAATTTATTTGTCTTTTGTCATTTATCTGTTATTTTAATTTAAAGTATGTTTTAAACTATAATTCTTTAATTGTATTTTTTTTGGGGGGGCTAAAATTCTAAAATATTGGGGGACGAGATTGTATGTTGTATCGTGTAAGCTGCCCCAGTTGTGTTATACAGAGAGGCGGGATACAAATAAATTATTATTATTATTATTATTATTATTATTATTATTATTATTATTATTATTATTTAGAGTAAAGTTAATAATAATAATAATAATAATAATAATAATAATAATAATAATAATAATAATAATAATAATAATAATAATAATAATAATAATAATAATAATAATAATAATAATAATAATAATAATAATAATTTATTCATATTCCGCTTGGTGGCGAACCAATCTAGGCAGATAGCATGGTGTGATGGTTTGAGTGTTGGACTATGGAGACCAGGGTTCGATTCCCAGCTCGGCCATAAAGGCCCCTGGGTGATCTTGAGCAAGTCACATGTTCTCAGCCTCAGAGGATGGCAATGGCAAAACCCCTGTGAAGAAACTTGCCAAGAAAACTCCAGGATAGGCTTAGCCATAGGGACACCATAAGTCAGAATTGACTTGAAGGCACACATCATCATAATCAACAACAACAACAATAACAACAATAGCGAACCCGAGTTACTTTTCAACATATGAGCAGGGACTTTCAGGAAAAAATTTTTACATTTGGATGCCAGTCACATAATGAAATGCTCAGGATGTCAGATTTCCAAAGGGCTGGCCATGCCAGGCTGCTGCAACAAAAACATCAAGACTTGTTTTTCTCTTAAAGTGTCACAAAACTCTTTGTAGACTCTATAGACAACTGTCTCTGTGATAATGGGTGGAGGTGGATTAGTGGCAAACTGATGAATCATTGTTTTTAATGGCAAGGGCTCAGCAAACAAAGTTCACACAAAGGCTGACTTTTTGCATTATCAGAAGTCTAGGGATTATGGTCTGGCCCTCCTTCTAAAATTTCAAGTCCTTGATATGATCACCCCATTTTATCTATAAAGGCCCAACGCCAATCACTATAAGGGAATAATTCAATGAAAAATAGGTTTTGACTTCCCTGATGGTTTACTCATGGGTCTCTATTCTCCCATAGAGGAATCTGTATAGGAGGAACCTATGAGCAAACATGGCCTAGTGCTTTGAGTGTTGGACTACAACTCAGGAGACCTGGGTTCGATTCCCAGCTTGGCCATGAAACCCACAGGGTGATCTTAGGCAAGTCACACACTCTCAGCCTTAGGGAAAGGCAATGGCAAACCTCCTCTGAACAAATCTTGCCAAGAAAATCCCACAACAGGTTTGCTTTAGGGTTGCCATAAGTCAATGACCTGAAGGCACACAACAAATACACACACATATGACAATTATGTATACTGAAAAGCCCTCCAACTGCCCCAGTTTGACATGCAGAGTCCCAATTAATCCTCTGTCATCCCACTTTTAAAGTCACTTTTAAAATGTCCCAGTTTCCCTCTCCTCCTCCCACTTCCCCCCCTTTCTCCTTGATTTACTTCAACTGAATCCAAGAATCCAGCTTGCAAAAATAGTTTGTGATGAATTAGCTTAACATGAGGAAGAGAGGAATCCTGTCCTTCCCTGTACTCTCAGGCAAAAGTAAGCTGCTGCATCGCCTCCTAGCTTTTGTGTTCTTCTTCATTAATAACTTTTGCCATCTTGGCCATACTCTGATGTTCTTTGGTCCCATGTGTCCCAGTTGAAATGTTGGAGGGTATTACTTGAGTGAGAGCCAGGGCGGTGTACTGGTTTGAGTCTTGGACTATGGCTCTGGAGACCAGGGTTCGAATCGCCACTCGGCCATGGAACCCCACTGGGTGACCTTGGGCAAATCACACACTCGCTCAGCCTCAGTGGCCAACCCCCTCTGAAAAAACTTGCCAAGAAAAGCCCATGATAGGTGTGTCTTAGGGTCGGCATACATTGGAAACACCTGGAAGGGACGCAACAACAACAACAGTAACACAACTTGAGAAGTTCATCACTGAAAAAAGCATGGTTCCCTAATGGCCCTTCCATACTACACACTTTGATAACATTTAAGTTCCATGTTGGTTATTAGTGAGAGCCAGCATGGCTACGACCCGGAAGACCAGGGCTTGATTCCCAGCTTGGCCATGACACCCACCCTTGGGCAAGTCACACTCTCTCAGCCTCAGGGGAAGGCAAGGGCAAAGCTCCACTGAACAAATCTGCCCAAGAAAACCCCAGGATAGGGTTGCGTTAAGGTCGCCAGAAGTTGGAAACAACTTGAAGACACACAACAACAGCCATTAATGTGAGCTATATTCGGGTTATATTAGCTCAGTAGGAGCGCCTGCAGCATATGCTTTATTTTTTTAAAGTTAGAAGTTTATTGTTTAGGAAGTCAGTCCAACTTTTTGGTTCAGGTATCCTTCTATATATGGTCATGCTGTGGCTGGGCTGAGTCATTCTCGGCCACCAGGTTGGAATTTCTGACCTTGGCTGAGGCATAGGCCGACATACGCACAACTCTACAGACAGCGTCCTTAAACCCTGGCATTTTTCCATTAAAGGATCTGGCGGTCACACAGCTCTTTATCTCTCCAACGCAGGCGGACTCTTCATGCCACACCTATCAGAAACTGTGCAAGTGGGTTTGAACTGGCAAGAGATCTGCAGGGTAAATTTTCTCTCTGAAAAAGGCTTGTGTTGCCATATAGGTCAGTTATGCTGCCCATAATCCCCACTGCTAGCTCTAGACTGGGCTAAGCAATGCAAAGCCTTGGAAAAATATCGGACTACACTCTTATAGTGCTATTATTCCAACTTTAAATGCAAAGGCTGCCTCCTGTGTAATCCTGGGATTTGCAGTTGAGGGAGAGGCAGTCTGACTTCTCAGCCAAATAGCTCTTACGCCTCACTAAACTACAAATCCCAGGATTACACAGGAGGCAGCCACAGCAGTTAAAGCACTATGACAGTGTAGTGCAGTGGTTCCCAAACTTTGGTCCTCTGCAGGGTGACCAGAGTTCCTCCTTTTCCCGGAAAGAGTTTTTAAATTTTAATTTTTAATAGGTAATCCAATTTAACTTTTTAAAAAATTGTTTAATTGTTTTTTTTTTAAACTGATAAGGCGAGTTAGGGAAGCAAGATAATCAGCAGTTGACGGCGATAATGATTAGAAAGAAGTTTTTTAAAATAAAGATTTCCTTCCTTTCTTGCATCGCCCAGCACACCTCTCAGTCTGCAAAGGATGGTGAAAGGAAGTGTGTGAGAGAGGAGGAGAAAGTTAGGTTTCATGTTGCAGGTTGTGGTTATTACATAAATGTGTGCCCTTGAGAAGCTCTCTCTGACTCATAGCAAAATCATTCATCTTGAAAGATCAGAAGTGGAAGACATCCAGAACCGCACCCAAGAGAAAACTGTCAATTTCTGGAGGCAAAGAGAAGGAATGCTCTTACCCAGGCTATCTTGTGGAGAAGGAAGGAAAGAAGGCAAAAGATAGAAGAAGAGCTTGGAAAAGTTCCTTGGCACTTTGGCCAGGGATCTTGTGCCATTCCTACTTTACTTTGGGGGGTTGCAGACTGCCAGAAATAGTGCAAATTGAGTCCACTTTTAGGGTTAGGGAATCATGGGAACTGTAGTTTATTGTGGCACCAGAGCTCTCTGACAGAGAAGGCTCAATGTCTCAGGAAAAAAACAAAACAATTCCCATGATTCCCTAGCACTAACCCTAACCCTAAAAGTGGACTCAACTTGCACTATTTCTGGCAGTCTGCAACCCCCCTTTGTCTGGATGGGGAAGATGAAGCATATCCAGCCAATGCTTCAGGGGCCAGCTGAGTCCCAAGCACAGAACTCAGGAGCTTATCACATTCATTTTAAAATGGCTTACCTAATCCGGATTAAATTTTAAATCAGGCGGCTTCGCTTGCAACAAGTATACTGCGCATTTGGGTTGGCCAATAAAGGGATCACTGATGGATTTTGGGTTGAATCTCTCTTTAGTACATGGAATAAAGTTATCTCTCCAATATCAAAGTATCAATCCTTTTTTAGCAGTCAAAAGGGTGCAAAAATAAATAAATAAATAAATAAATAAATAAAATAAAATCCACTTCCACTGACCCTTTGCTAGTTTCCATGATACAGCTCAATATTTCAAATGGGAGAGGAAGGTGGCAAACAAGGTTATCTTACCGTAGCCGGAGATGAGTTGGTGGTGAGATATTTTTGCTGAACTTTCTGTGGTCTCATGACATATCTTTGAGGATTCTCACTGCCATCCTTTCTTTGTTGTTCTTTTAACTGTTGTAAACCGCCTAGATTGGTTCGCCATAGGGCGGTATAGAAATAAAAATTATTATTATTATTATTATTATTATTATTATTATTATTATCCAATGCATGCTTACTCCAAAAGTCCATTTAAAAAAACAAAACAACTTTATTTCTTATTAAAAAAAAAAACCACAAAAGAGACACAAAACATCTAACATCTGACCATGACAAAAGCAACTACGTAAACGTATAACATATAACAAACAAACATAACAATAACTAAACAAAGAATAACAAACTTAACCATTCATTCCAATCTGACTTCCTGAATTCTTGTTCATTTTGTAGTTTTAAATTTAAATTGATTTAATACTGTTTTAAGGGGGGTTAGGGATTGTGTTTTGGGATACACTGTATGGTTTTATTGTTGTAAGCCGCCCTGATTGGGTTTCCAAAGGGCGGGCTATAAATAAATTTTATTATTATTATTTATTATTTTTAAGTCATATTTTTATTATCTAAACCGTAACACTTTCTCTATTTATAATTGGTTCATGGGAGCTTATGCTAATATCTAAACACTTATCATGAAATAATAATAATAATAATAATAATAATAAAATTTATTTATATCCTGCTTATCTAAACACTTATCATGAAATAATAATAATAATAATAATAATAATAATAATAATAATAATAATAATAATAATAATAAAATTTATTTATATCCCACTTAATGAAATCAATCCAAGCGGCTTACAATAAAATACATATATCAAATTCCCAAACATCCCAATAATCTTAATCTCAATATTCTCGATCCTTACTCATTTCCCCCACAGATCCTTTATCCCTTAATTTTACCACTGTTAAGACAGTTTATTATTCAAATATTCAAATATAGGATCCCAGGTCTTTTTACCTTTTTCCCAATCCTGTCCCCTTATTGAGTAGGTTATTCTATTTAACTCTATCATTTCTAGCAATTTATGCCACCATTTATGCAAAAGTACATTTTAGATTGTAGGCCTGAAGGCAGGGAACTGTCAAATTCACCATCTGTAAGCCGTTCTGAGAGCCTTTGTGGTATAAATACTCTAAATAAAATGAATAAAAGCCACCATTGGAGGGTATCCAGCAATTTAATCTGGCCCTTTTTCTCTTTCAGGTACATTCAGGAGGGAAGGGAAGAAGTGAACCTGGCTGCATATTCAACTTACTGATGCTTTGTGACAGTGGCATCACTAGGGTTGAGAGAGTGTGCCTTGGTTGAGAGAGTGTGCCTTGCCCAAGGCTACCCAGTGCCTTTGTATGGGCAACATTTCTACCACAGTGATTCCCAAACTCTGTTCCTCCAAGACTTTTGGACCATAGCTCCCAGAAGGCCCAGCCATTTTGGCCAATGGCAGGGCATTCTGGGAACTGAAGGCCAACAAACCTGGAAGGTCAGAGTATGGCAATCGCTTCTCTACATTTTTCCTAGCTCTATGCTTGGATGCGCGCCAGCACGTCGGCGCCTGTGCGCATGCGCGGTCCCGTCGCTGGGGAAACGCCTGGGCGAGAGAAAAAGAGATAGAGAGCGCGAGAAGGGGAAGGTAGGCCGCGGTTGAAGCCGGGGACTCGCGTAGATGTCTTCCCCGGAGGAGGTGAGGGTGGCCCCGGTCCCGGTGGCGGACCTGCCCCCGGAGTGGGAAACGGATGAGGAGCGTATGGCCTTCCTTTTCTCGGCCTTCAAGCAGAGCCGGGAAGTCAACGCCACCGAGTGGGACAGCAAGATGGGCTTCTGGAGCGAGCTGGTGCTGAAATGGGGGCGGCGGCGGGGGGGTCCCGGAGGAGGAGGGGTCCGGACCTGCCTGAGGGAGCTCCAGCAGGCCTTCGAGCGCCGGGGAAGCGTCCCTTTGGGGCTGGGCACCGTCCTGAAGGAGCTG